GATGAAAGGCATAGGGCCAACGAATGAAAAAAAAAATTTAAGCTAGCTTCATATTAGTCATGGGACGGGAACAAGCAGGTATCTAAATCTAACGTAATACATAATACACAGGCAGGAATACATGTATAGTACACACACATGTGCCCGAGGAGCCCAATCCAAGACCTCACTTACACACTTACACACTAAGAGACCACTAAGAAAACACACTAGATAGATAGATAGATAGAAATGGGCAGTCCCGACCATCCGGAAACAAACGGGGCACGTGAATAACAGCGGCTGTGCACAACGCGTGGAAGCGAACGGATACGTAGGGAGCGAGTGAGTGAGTGAGTGAGCGATGGAAGGGGGGGATTGCGTAAGACTAACTACCTTACGCAACGCGGGTGGGCGATGATCTACGCTACACCATCTTCAGCACGAAAAGACACGGGAACACAAAAAACAGCGTGCGCGGTCCAAGGGACAAGACACACGGATAGAAAATAAAACATCATCGGAGCGGTTCGGAACAGAAGCGTTGGACTGCCCTATCTTATTGCTTACATCCTTCACGTTCTCGCTTAATCGGGTAAGGAAAGGAAAGGGATGGATGGGGTTTCCTTCCGTTTGTCCTCCGGTATGCTGACCGGTTCGGGTGTAATGAGCTTACTTTTTTAAAAAAAAATTTTATCTCTATTCTTCTCATTCGGAGATGGCCGACGGCACCGATCTTTTTTGTATAGCAGTGTATAACAGGTGTTGGTTTCGCTCCTTCGCGGCACGAGCGTGGGGGGCACGGCGAAAGGAGTACCGGTACATTGAAGTGCGGTGACACGGGGTCGGTCACACACGGAGGATTTGATTTTGATTCAATTTAGTGCATGTAACTTATATTCAGAAGGAAATATTTTGGTCCCATGTATTATAACCAAAGCCCGCGCGTACAGGCAAGGCATTACCACTCTGACTAACTACAATGCCTATAGCTCCATGGAAATGAGGAAGAAATGAAAAAACCACCAACCGAACCCCCCCCGTCCTGTCCAGACGCCGTGTATATGCCGAGGACCTGATACTATGATGTAGAAACAGTGATGATAATGATGATGACGATGATGATGGGGATAGATGAATAAACCTGAGTGACCATGATGCAGAAAGGAAAAACCACCACCAAAGTAATGAAGAGCCCACAACTCCATACCATGCAGTATATCCCTTCCTCTCTGTTCCTCCCCATTTCCCCGGCCAAACATAGGAAATATGCAAGGAATGAGACGAGTAAATAGTAGATAGGTAGTGGATAGATAGATGTAAACCACTACTGGGTAGCCGGCAAGACGAACCGGACCTTCTTCTTCCTAGGCTTTGCAGCCGGTATATCTATAGGTTGAGTCTTGTTGTTGTCGTCGAGATCCTCAATGCTAAGCCCCATCTCGCTCCTCGTCTCCTTCTCCGGCTCTTCGTCGATAGACCAGACGTCCGGGCTGGGTTCACGCCAGGAATGGCGCCGCTGGAGCGTCCGTCCGAGTGCTCTCACACGTCGAGACGGCGGCGGCGGCGCGAAGCGCTTGGCTAGACGGCCCCGGGGCGATCCCACGTGGAATGAGGATGAGGATGGCGAGAGCAGAGCATCTGCGGTGCGATGGTTGGGAGAGCTGTGGCGCGGGTGATCGAAGTAGTCGTCGAGGCCGAATGGGAGCGACTTCTGAGGTGTAAACCGTATGTAATCCTCGTCGTCGTCATCGCTGTCTTCAATATCGTCCGAGTCGTCCAGGATGGCGCAGTCTGGATCTTTGCTGCTCCGGGGCTTGTACCGTCTGAGGCCGTCGAGCGTGGAAGGGCTCACGCTCCGGACCATCTGACGGGGGCTGTTGGAGTCCTCGATGCCTGCATCGAAGTCGAACTCGAACTCCAGTTCCTCGTCTCTAGGGGTGGCGGGTGTTAAGAAGTACCTGAGAGGGTTCTCGGGCCGTGACGCATGATCGATGTCTTCGTCATCTGTAGAGAGCCCGTCCTTGTCTTCATCCAGCGCCGGTGGAATGCGGCTGGGACTGGAAGGCCACAGCCCGCTAGGCGGCCATGACTGCCGGTGCACTGCATGGAGTGCATCCGATGGTAAGAGAGGCATATTGGTTTGATTATAGTGAAGCGTGGTAGAGCCAGGGTCCTTGATCACGAAAGCCAGGTTTCCAAGTCTTCATTTCAACCTCAGGTGATATTAATATTTCAATGGTAGGGAGAGAGAGGTCACGCTCCCTACGAGTAATTATTATAGAGATCTTCAGAAAGTAACCCGAGTCCAAGCTGGCTCTTATCTTTCAGAAGATATGTAGTGAGCGTGGAGGGGACAGAGGGGAAGAAGCTGTCGCCTCGAGCCAAAAGTGATAAAATCGAAACAGCACAAAACAGGAAAATACAGCGGTGAGGCCAGATATATATACATTGTCACAGGCAGAATGCATATATGTACTCAAGTATTGTATGTGTAAGAGAAAGTGGCTGGTGCCCGGTTAGTCAGTCACCTGTTGATCCAAGACGCTGCCTTGTGGGTTTTAGCAGCAGGTAGCAGCAGTAAGTACTCAGTAGTAATAGGTATAGTACACGTACCAAGTCAGTAAAGATGGGTGATGGATGATGGGTGGTGGTCATCCCGGTCCCTCAGCTGTCAAGACGGGGAGGTATCTTCACAAAAACCCCACACAGAAAGGGCTTTAGAGGAAAAGAGGGCGCCGGTCTATTACCTATTCCCTATTGCCGTGAAGCAAATCACAGGGCGCAGGGCACCGAAGACTCACTCGCACACAATCGCACACTCGTACTAATCACTCACATCTCAGGCACTAGCCGGGTGCACTAGGAGAATAAGAAACTAGGAGGGGAAGAGCTGGAGGAGGATGAGCAGGATGAGCAGCAGGACCAGGAGGCAGAGATATTTCCCAAAAGGGAACGACGCATATGAAAGATGGTGTGCGGGCCGGCCGCAGAAACCGCAAAAACTGGGCGAGGAGGCGAGGATACGAGTGCACCGCGAGCTATTGCCTCGTAAGGAGTAAGACAATCCGACTGTCTCTCTCTCTCTCTCTCTCTCTCTCTCACACACACACACACACACACACATCTCTCTCTTTCTCTCGCACATCGCATCCCCTCCCCCCACTCTCCAACTCTTCTTCCATCACTCTTGTCCGTCTCTCTTGTGTGTCTCTCGTCACTCTCACTTCTCGCTCACTTCTTCTTGCCTTGTCTTGTCCAAGAACAAGGGCATCTGACATGGTTTACACACCCTCTTCGACGGCCATGGCCCATGCAGTCCCATGCAATGCCCCACGTCCCGGACGCGGGCGTGCGTCTGTATGCGACGCTGATGAGGCTCGTGAGCTCCGGTATCATTCGCTGCTGTCTTAGTGAGTCGATCGTGCTGCACGGCCAGGGATCGGGAGTGCGCATCGCTGCAGCGCGCCCGCGTTGTACCTTGCATGAGTTGGGTGCTCGGCCACTTTAGCTTTCGACCATTTGTGTGCGCGTTGCCGTGGCGTGATGTAGAAATGATGCATGCATGCACAATACCATACATACCATACACACAACAACTAGTCTACTCTCCAATCAAGAAGCGGCTATGACGGATGGAACATGGTACTTACTCGCTGTAGGTACCTCTTAGGTAGTATGTAGGGCATCGTTGGTTTTGGTTGGAAGCCTGCTTAACCTACAGTACGCCAACCTAGTCTAGTGCATACCTACATATGCTATATGTGTTCTATAAGTGCGTCCCGTCAAGTATACCTAACCTAGGTACCTACCTACCTATCTCAAGTTGGAAGTAACTAACCTAGGTTAACTCAGGTATAGTAGCTGGGCTGTATTACTACGTAAGTAAGTGAACATACAAGGGTACTTTGTAAGACAGCCGACGAACTATACTATCTCACTACTAACTATCGCAATAACTATGGAGACAGGAATGGAGACTGGAAAAGGCAGAATGACCATCAAGATTGATATGCAAAAACAGGGAATTCGACAAAAGCTTATGGCGCTAATACAAGCGGCAGCCATCAGCGAAATGGGTATTTTCAGATTAGTATGTTGATCTCGAGACAATGCCATACCTACTACAAATCCTAGATAGTATACTTGCAATTACTGCCTACTCGGTAATTACATGTACAGTAGGTAGGTACTTGGTGTGCGGAGAGTACTGCGCTCCTTGCGCGCAGAATATGCCCTCCCCTCACTCGCCTAACCTACCTTAGCAAATACTCTCTGTGCATCACATCCCATACCTACTTTACCTACCAAAATACCACCTACCGTTATGGACCACACCACAATCTTGCCACCTTCGGTGTGACTGGAGACAACCACTACTGCATAATATAGGTAGGTAGGCATGTAGCCGGGGAGAGAAATATCTTGTTTGCCTTGGAGACACACTTGCTAGAGTGCTTCGGCATGGGTCATATGACAGAGCTTATCAACCGCCCGCAGCCCGGTTGTAACCCAAGGAGGTTGTGGTGGAAATTTGACCGTTGACGGTTAAGAGTCATCACGGTTGCAGCCCAAGTTCCCCTCCTCTCACCGGAAGGATTCGGAAAAGCTTGATTTGATTCCCACCTCTTATCGAGTTGGTATCTCCATGTTAATCAGTCAGTCTCCATATCAACCTGAAATTTTCCGAAATGCCATGCGTGCGCAGACTTGCTTTTTGCCTTTGTGGAAAGGTGAACTCTTTGGAGGGTTGATGCTACGTACGATATCGGCGTAGGTGAGTACTTAGGTACCTAGGTTAGATAAAAGCCCAAGTTCCACCGTCGGCTCATTTGGGCGCACACTTGAGCTGAGCTAACGCATTCAATTCGGGTCCTCGCTGCTTAGCGGCACTACACCAAGACTACTAGGCACCACCAAACCTCAAAACTCTGACCAAGACCCAAGGCAGACGCCAAATGCCGTTTTAGCGACCGACGAGCCCACACCGAGGAAGCTCGTCGCTTTCGTTCCCTTGTTCAGGGCTTGTGGTTTAGTGGTATAATACTCCCTTAGCATCTGATGGTGTTCTTCTCCCTTTCGAGAAGTCCGCCCACGAGAAACTTGGGAGTGGTCCGGGGTTCGATTCCCCGCGAGTCCAACGGCGGTGGCTCCAGCCCACCTGTATACCTCGACGATACAATTTTCTCCGAATTGGTGTAGTGGCTAACATTTGACGCTCTCATCCCACACGCAAGAGGGGTTGCCGTCAAGCCCGGGGTTCGATTCCCCGATTCGGAGTAGAGCTTGGACTCACACATTTTCTGTAACTTTTTGCCTTGGTGCATGTGGCCTTCCTAAAGAAAGCATGCGCGAAGCAGGTCATGAGTGATAAGATAGATGGTTTTGCCTTGTTTACCAGTGCTGTGTTAAAGACTGCATCGGGCCGTCCCTCTGATGCTGTATCTTGTATACTAAATGCATGTCTTCCTTGTACATAGTGTAGATTGAGTTTTGCGGAAGATTTATCCTCAAAGGAGAAATTATTTTTGTCGATCTTTCGTCATTTCGACGTCAAATACACTATTTGTGCATGCGCACGGAATCTGTACCAGGGAGGACGACTTGGTCAAACGGTCTTAGATGTCTAGCTGCAACACACTAATCAGCTTCACGAGCTTTTAAGGTTTCTAACCGGAGTCGTGGATCACCAGCATCTGCAGATTTTCCCACTTCGGCTCAACCCGTGTCGGCTTTGGCTGCCTTCGAGGTCGCTGAGAGGCCGCTGAGAGGTCAGGCTGCCAGGGTGGTAGGTAACCCAACCCTGGGCGATCGCCCTTCGCGATGGAGAAGACTCTCGGCAGTAAAAATAGTATGTATGCACTATGTCTCGGCTTGATAGGCGGACCTAATCGCATAAAACCCCCCCGATGGACAGCTGTCACGTGAAGCCTACAACCACGTGAGGCTGGACGAGGGTGCCTGTGTCCAATCAGCATCCAATCCAATCGAATTGAGTGCCTGACCAGTCTTACGTAGTAAGTCTAAAGGCTACGGCTCGTTCTCCTCGCGGCTGTCACGGATGTGGCGATCGTCGATCCCGCTTGGATCAAGTGCCCAGGCGCGGTGATCCCAAAAACGTTATTTTCGGGGATAATGTGTTTTAGCTAAACTCCTGACCAAAATCCTGAACCCTTCTCACCACGAGAGTGGAGTTGTTTCATGGCGACTTGTTTTGCGTGATCGGGTCGAGTTTTACTTCTATGACGTCGGCAGCCCAGGTTCGAACAGAGTTTGGGATCTGCAACAACGGCCCCTGCCGCAGTTGTTACACAACCTGCACTCTGCACATGGCCCGCGCGGCTGGGACCTGGTCCTGACATGGTCCTGACCTAGGCATCTGGAACCGTTAGTTAATATAACCAGCTCGTCAGCCGTTCCCCAACGTCGTAACATCGCCTTGAGCAAGTTGCCAAGAGATACAACTAATTGATCCAGTGCCCGTCCACTCTAGACAAAAGAGCAGTGTTGAGGGCAAGTATATCGACAAAATTGCTAGAAATTAGGTTTCTAGCCCTGACCGAGTGATAGTAACAACATCACATCACCCCGTTGGTTTCGTTGGTCACCGCGGAGAGACGGCTGGGAACATCACCCAGCTAATGACCGAGACTTTCTTTGGCAGGTTACCTAAGTATTCGATACTGATTGTAACTAGAATCCATGAATTTAGTTTTTGACACTGTGGGAAGGTACGGAGGAGTTCCTATAATAGACCCTCACAGTGGATTCCATGTGACTAACCTCCATGACTTCTACAACATCGCTAGCCACATTGCAATATAACAACTCCCCTGACCTATTAACCTAGCATAACCAACATGCTCCCTCGAACTGAAAACGACACTGATGTGTCCAAGTTTACCATCAATTCCTTTCTCTAACGTGTTCTTGCTCTTCGGACATAACTGGGTTAGGTAATGAACAGCAAAGCTCTGTCTCAACTTCGTCACTATCAAAGAGACCAAATAGGGTAGTACCTATCACAACATTCTCGTAAGTGTCTTTAGAGTTGCCTGGGAATCAAGGTCGGTCCTTGGCATCAATCTCCCTTAACTCCTTGTTTCCGGATAAGCCCTAGGTTAGGCATGAAATGTCGTTGGATCTTGTAATAGTATCTTTGCTATGTTACGGGTGTGGTCCTGCATTCTTCGGCCTATATAAAAAAAGTTATTATACTATAGTGTTGATAGAAAGAAGATCAGAAATGAACCTACACTGATGTCTATCTTACAGACCATGTTTAAACTCATCTATACATGGTTTCATACACACTATCTTGTATTGAAATTCTCTCCGTCGTTGCTACATGGAGACTTTTCATTCAGGAAAGGAGCTTATTGGACGTGTGATGTCGGTTCGCCCAGGGCACTTACTATTCGCCAAGCTGGGGACCATGATGCAAGTATCGCGTAAACCCTTTTTATGAAGACAATTCTAGCCACCTAGTTTTCACACCCGCCCTTAGTAGGGAAAGACGCACGCGAGCAAGACGGAACCGACTTAAACGTGACGTGACGATACGAGCAGCAAGAGCATTCGCATATGTCGACCGGTCGTGAACGATGCCCGGTCCCATAGCGCACTCTGGGTCCAAGGATGAACGTGGAAGCCGAGAATATCCAACGTCCCGAAGTAGGTAGGTTCAATACCACGGCGACGGCCGTCTGCCACGACTAAACAGGGACCTTGCTTGCTCGCTTGTCTTTGCCAGTGAGGCCGGAGGACCCGTCTTCTTCCGAGCGAAGAAGGGGCCACCACGTCACCCCCGATGCTGCCGCAATCCCAGGGATGGATATGGGGCCTTAACCTAAAAGACACTTAGCACGAGATCGTGGCATAGCTCACAGCACAGCGTTGGTCATCTTAGTGTAGAGGTTGGGACGCAATGTGTATATGAATACTCAGTATGATGATGATGTTGCTACAAGGTTGTCCCTTACACCTTAGTAAAAGAGCGGTGAGGCTTCGCTGTCCCTATCCATCACCGTTAGTGCCAAGGGACCCCACAATGAGGTTGGCTGTCCTCACGATTTACCTCCTGCGTAGTAGTTTCTATGAATCCCATGACCGGGAGAGCGTTAACTTAAACAGTCAATCGCTGTATGTCTTTAACTTGCGTGAAGATAGATAACGTACGGCTTTAAGAATAACTATATATGACCTATCGCAGCTCATGTTTCGTCTTACCGTAAGTGGGGCGTATTGACGATGTGTTCTACTGTACTAGTAGAGGTTTAAACCGATGAGGGTTAAGTTCGTATGCTGCACGATAGTTTACCATCCCTAGATCAGGCCTCGTATCAGTTAAGCGATACATATAGGTTGTTTAGCAGGATGTGGACCCTTTGCCCTCAATTTGCATAGTAACCATAGCTAGCAATAGCAGGTACGATTCACTTCACCTACGCGGGACTTATGCGTCGTACCTGTTGATACTAGTAGGTAAAGAAGGAATCTTCGCTGCTTGCCTTGTGTAACTCGTTTAACCATCGATGTAAGTGGTCATCTCCTTTTTAACACCCAGGCTGTAATCAATGTAGGATTGCATGCATACGGTCGAGGCAGCCACACACGCTCTCTTAACAGACAGGGCGAGCCAATCGACTTGCATGAACTAGGTCAACTATGAAATCTGATGCCTACCAGTTTGGGGGTTTCTTCGGATGGGGTGCTGTTGAGGAGGTCCATAATAATAACATCAACTTTTGCAGTTAGCTTGGCCGCAAACTGTATGCAACATGTTGGATCGGAACCGCGTCCTTTTCGAGCCGTATTGTGATTTTATATAGACTACCCGTGTGTGGATTCACGTATTTCTAGGGCACCAACCCAGAAACGTACTCCTCAGCGTTGTCGTAACGTCATCAAAGGGCGCCTGTAAATTTCCTAAAATGACACCGTAGCGAAGCTGTGCATGCCATTCGCCCATCGTCGGTATAGTCCCGCTTCTCCGGGTGTGCGCCTACACCGTCCAGAAAAACCACCACGGGGGTTGGGAGTGCCTTTACGTATGGTCGAGTAAATTGCTGTTCAGTGGGAGGCAAGGGTGCGCAGACCACTCTGCCACGTCCTCACCATTTACAGGCGGCGTAAGCATAGACAGCAGCGAGCTATTACTGTCTACTGTACAGCACTCGCCCAGGGAAGAAATGCTGCTGCTGCTGCTGCTGCTATGGCTGCAGATGAGTCGCGCGTGACCCCATTCGCGAAAGCGCACAATGACTCCGTCCGCCGAGAGGGCTACCATAGGCGGGCATTGTTTCGTCGTCCAGCTCTGGGCAGTCCCCGGTTGGGAGCGTGGACGGGCGGTGGACTACTAATGCAGGCTCCCTTATTACTTTACTGCCTGAGGACTGGTTGTATGGTCCTCAATGGCCCCCGAATGGGCAAGGAAGGTGGGCGGTGGGACTGGAGCTTGAACAAAGACCCTCTCTTGCCGTGCCCAAGCCTCTAGAACGACGGCAGTAGGAAGTAGCAGGAGGTACATTCTTAGTAAGTAAGGAATGGGTTGTGCTGGCTTCCGTCCGTCTCGTCTGCAACTAAAAGCGTCTGGCTGCAACCTGCCTAGGTAGATCCTACGAGCAAACGAGCAAACGAGCAAATAGCACAACTATGACTATGCCACCACCGCTGCTGACATGACGCTGCAGCGATATGCGTTGTCGAAGTCTGCCGCATATTCCATTCACCCCTTTCCCATCTCCCGAGCTGATTGATTGATTGATTATTGATGGATTGCTCCCTGTAAACAACACCTATGCAGTCGTAGTACGGGCCTCCATTGCAGAGCCACGGGAGGAATCGCAAACCACACAACAAAAAGGGTTTCATTTTTTAAACCCTTCTTTTTGTGTGTGTGTCCCTTTATGATACAGGTATTCTAGTGGTGGCATTATTGAAAATAACCAGCCACAGGTTTCGCTTATTCAGAAGTTGAGAGAGACTGTACCTATTCGGCAGTATTGATACCCAAGGCCCAACTTGGGCATTAAACCCGCCACAGACGGATTCCGCAGCTTGTATTCTGTATTCTGTCGAGAACGCACCAGAGACGTCTCTTCTAGACTCTTCGTTCCCCGAAAAGAACAGCTTTCACCTTTCGAAATTAGAATCTCCCCCTTCCCAGGCATGCCTATCCCAGCACTTTGACCAGAGTTCACCCTTTTCTGTACTTGTTCCACAGAGTACGTAGAGCACGCACGCATACACGCACGCGCACACACACACACACACGCTAC